GCATGTGGTGCTGGGGGATTGAACCACGGTCCCTGCGTTTTGCTAAGCTTGTTCTAAGTAGGTGCTTTAGACCACTGAGCCATCTCACCAGCCCCATCCATCAGTTTTTTAAAGTAGCAATTAATGTTTAAAATTCTTACTTTGACTAGTAAAAGTATATATGCTAGTATTGGTAATCTGAACAACTACATCGAGGATAGCAATGTGCGGTATAAAACCCACAGCTGAATATCTCATTTTGTTCTTTTAAGTGTATACCTTTTCTAATATCTTATCACTTCCCATTATATTCTCTTTAAAATAAATAAATTAAAAATAGAAAGTAAAAAGGACAAGAAAAATAAGGTTTATTGAGAGGAAAAGTTAATGTTTAACTGTTTTATCAATCTGTCATACCTGTATCTGGTAAACGGAGCAACAAATTTGATGATAACAGTGCATAATATAGCCCTTGTTAATTTTTTATTCTTGTTTTGAAATTCTGTATCACTGCCAGGGAGATGGCTCAGTAGAATAAACGCTTTCCAGGCAAGTGCAAGGGCCTGAGTTAAATCCCTGGTTCCTAAAAAAAAAGATTTGTGCCTGAGCAACTGAGAAATTTAGCAAGCTCTGGTCTGGAAACTGAAAAAGAAAAAAAAAACGAAATTCTGTATCACTTGTATTGCTGTATGTTGCTTTGTTTCTGTATTTGTTCTTGTTATTAGTGTTTTTTTAAGTAAAATTAAAAGAAAAATGTAAAAAAAAAGAAGAAGGAAAGGAGAAGAGCTAGAAAACATGACAATGTCAAGCCATACAGTTATATGTAGAAGATGGGCAAGGCAATGATTCTGAGAATCTCCAGAAGATTTTTTAATCTAGCAGTTAATTGGAAAGATTCTCATCTTGACTAACTATATATACTGATACCTGTGAAATAATAAACCGCACTGCAGATGGTAATCTGTAATAGTAATTTCATGCTTGGAGTGCCTGTCATTCTGGTCTTCTGAATACGGGCTGCTTGTCATGACATGCCAGTTGGTGCTATGCTGTCTCTCGGGTAGATGATTGTTCAAAAAGAAGGGGGTGTGAATGAAGGCAAGAGACAGGTAAAGGAATGTTGTGGGACTGTCCTGCTTCAAGGTTGTATATGGTGAGATTTTTGGACTTATGTGTAAACATAAGAAGCATATAATTCTTTATGCCTGTTTTTAAAATATATTCTAATTGTTAAATGTTTTTTCATCATATTCTGTAGGGACTTAAAGTTCAACATGTCAATACTTGATGAAAAATACCTGTTCCTTATTATGCCTAAGATGTTTGATATGCAGACAGATAGTGAGGTTAAGATTAACAGCCTAGGTTGTATGGTAATAACAATAAGCTTGTCTTCTGGATGGTTAACAACCTAAGTTTGCAGGCCAAATTAGAGAAAAAGGGGGGCTGCAAGGAAAGCCAACATTTTGGCCCTAGCTTTCCAAGGTCAATGAAGACTCAGAACATATGAGAACTTGTAGTGTAACGTCATGTAACTTGGTAGTGTCCCAAATTTTCTGATCAAGGCGATTATGGGGCCAAAGAGGAAAGTGATCGATGATGTAGAGTGTGCCTAACGAGAGTCACAGGGAGAGAAAGCATTTTCTCAAACATTCACAGAGAGCACATTGGTCAAGCAATGGCCATGACGCATCCACATGGCTGACACTGACAAAGGTTCTACAATCTGAGGTACAGGATCTCAAGATAAATCCTGGGGGGATTTCAATGACCTTTTCAGACCTAATAGCTACAACTCTTGTTACATGGGTCCTGCTTTACATTGGTCTTAACCATCCAGCATAAAAGTATAAAAACGAAATATAAGAAGTAAAGCCATGCTGTTATGTTGAGCTGTAGGGGAGTCAGGTCAACAATTTCTGACATTGCCAGTGAAGCGAAAGACCCAATTCTATTATAGGCTACTGGACTCTTTTAGAATATTTTGCTGAGTTTACACACCTATAATATTCAAATAACAAAACCTAACAAAAAAGGGTATACAGATGAATGTCCATTTTGTATCTGTGTATTCAAAGTG